TTTTTGTTGTGTTGCATCATTTATCCGTCAGTCATCTAAGATATTAAAGATAGAGTCAAATGCATGCTTTATTCAAACCTTCAGTGTGGGAAAATCATTTTTGGTTCTTCAGCAAAGACAATCGCTTAGTCATTAAGTTGTCATCCTCTCATTATATTTTAATGAGTCTAGAAACTGTTTAAAATCAGGATATTTTGACAAGTTTACCAGCTATTTTAAGATGGTGTGGAACACAGTGATGAAACTTTCACTGAAATTTTCGATTTTTCGACAGGCTTTCATGATCATACAGCAAAAATCAAAATATCTCCATGGCCTTTTATAGCAACTGGAACTCTCACCACTGTAAGTGTAACACTAACTTCCGGTAAGTTGATTACAGAGCTGAATTATAACGCAACGCGCGCCTTGACTGGTCAAAAATATATTGTATATTTACCTGTAAACTCATAGAAAACAAAATATTTTTCCACCCTGTTAAACGGCGCCACACGGGGGAATTCCCAGAATTTAATTTTTGAGGGCCTTTGGTTTGGAGGAAGCCAAGAATACGATTTGAACGTCAAAAACAACGACAAATATTTCATTTTTCAAGCATGATCAAATCTTTCATTTAAAACGCAGAACTTCAATAATTCTTGACTAGAATTCCCTAAACTGTCCGCCGAGAATGAAAAGTTAGCATGTTACTTCAAGGAAATTGTAGCGACAAGCTAACTGAAGTTTTATTTAGGTATTAAATGAAAATAAGATATTTAAATAAAAAAAGACACTTGCAAAGTGAATGGACTCTCAAGTACTCTGTCGTTTGCTGTCCGCGATTTCAGCTGCAAAAGTTTCAAAAAGGGTTTCAAAAATCGCGTTTTCCGATTAATTGAGAGTGTCTTGTTCTGATTCGATAGAATAAAGAATAATTTGTTTATTGTAAATCTTTTTGTGGCTGTCCCGTGCGCGCTCGTCTATCGCGTCCTATTTTAGTTGAAAAGAAATTCTCGAAATTTTCGATCCTCAGCTAACTAATTAGTACATAGTATTTTAAATTGTATTATTCATTGGGGCTCTAAGGGTTTCTCAGGAGTGCGAATAGAAAAAAAATGGCTCAATGCTACGTAAAAAAGAAAGGGTTTACGTTAGAAAGAAAGGGATAAGCTAAAGGAATGGGAGTTTATATACATACTGACGGGAAAAAGTGTCGATGCACCTGTGAAACTGGGACCTAACGGTAAAAAGTCTAAAGAAGAATTTGCCATTTAAATTCAGATTTACTCAGACTTGCTTCAGAAAAAAGGGCATAATGATCTCCATGGTGCAGTTTTAGCATAAAAGCTGCTTCCCCTTCAACTCCTCGCCACGTAAGCAACGACAATACCTTATCAATGGCTAATGCTTTTGTTTCCTTCAGCGGTTGATGTCCTCGACGCGAACTCGAAATACATAATAAAGTCAGAATCAGACGGCAAAGTTATCGATGAAGGGAGGGATGATCTTTGTAAAAATGAAGATTTTCAAGAATTATGCCGCTTACCCGCAGACAGTAAGTAGGGTATATGAATGATCAGAATGAAAAAGTAATGTCAATGCAATGGCTATCAAGCAAGGCCCCATTTAAATGATCTCGGGTATCTGAGAAAACCCTCCCCTCCGAGTTACCCTGGGCGAGCTAACTTTTCACTTATTTCTTTAAAAACAATCAGCCGACCGTTT